AATAGAAGAGCAGGAACATCTCAGTGTTTGGTAAAGGGGAAGAAAAGGGAGAATAAACAAAATGAGGGAAAAGTGGGATGACAATACTGATGACAAGGGTAAGAATGACAAGGAAGGGTAGGGATGACAAGGGTAGGTATGACAAAGGTAAGGCATTAAACTGAACTGGTTATTCAGTCAACTGAAAAAGGGAATGAAGGAAAGAGGAAGGGTAAAAGTGCAAGAGACTTCCAATTAAATGTTTCACAAGAAAAATATATTTTTAAAAAATAAATGCTAAAAAAGGAAGTAGTGCCCTGAATAGATATGCAAACTGCTTCCTCCACTTCAAAAATAACAAGGAGAATGACTCAGTCAGTAATAATATCTAGTACATTGCTGTTTGTAATCTGGATTCTAGACAAGTAAATTTGCTCAAACAATCACCAACAATATCATGAATTCACTGTCCTTCTTGACGTTTATACTCAAATAGAGTGTCTTGTTTCAACTACAATCACATATTCTGCCGAGGTTATATTTGTCACACCCTATTAATTGTTCTCAATAACATTGCAGAGGAAGTTTTAAAAAAATTACATCCTGCAAAAAGGAAACTTTACGAGCACAGTCGTAGTTCCTCTCCAATCACAAAGGCAGAATCGGCCAACGTTTCTTATTTAAGTGCACGAATGCCAGATGAATTTTGCTGACGGTCCAAGTCTTTGAGTAGTTTAGCACCACAATTTACTTCTGAAGTAAATCTAATGTTCTGAAGTTTGCAACACCTAAATCTCCAAAACAGAATTGATATGCAAGCCCTATCTAATTAAAATAGAATGCAAGGTGGTCACTAAATGGAAGTATATAAAAAAGGGAAAAAAAAAAAAATCACTGCAATAAGGTTGCATTTTCCTTCTGTACCTCCATGTGTCTAGACAAATTACATGTCACACTTTTCTGAAGAAGTGTCTCGACCCAAAACGTCAGCTTTCCTGCTCCTCTGATGTTGCTTGGCCTGCTATATTCATCCAGGTCTACACCTTGTTATCTTACATGTCACACTTCTTCATTTAGGAATGGTAAGGAACCAAACTTTCAAAAAAAAAAAAAACAAATTTTACCAAAAAACTGAGGGATTGCAAATGAAACTGTTATATATTTTGTAAATGGCTGTCCATAGAATTTAGGTGCAATGTTTGAGACTTGGAGCTGTCAGCTTTCTCCAGGAAAATTTGATGGTGCTTTGGCTTCATCTGTAAATTTGATAGAATTCTTTGCTTAGAAAACTGTAGGTTTACAATAAACATTAAAAATAGATGAGGTATTATATGTAGAATGAAGTGAATGAAATGGTGTTGCTGACCACTGTTTCACATGTTCTATATCAGGGATAGTGTGCACGCTCCTCACAGCTGGTTTTAAGATCCCAGTGTTGCCACAACAAGGAAGCAGCGATAAGGAGCCAGGCATTTAGCATATGTGTAGTGAAAACTCGGCATTGATCTCATAAACCAACAAATAGCCAGTGATAAAGTGAAAACTCACCTGGTCACTACTTTGGTATGGGAAATTCAGTGATGGGGAATAAAAGATGAAAGCAAAAAAAAAAATCCTCTGTTTTTTTGGAAAGATCATGTCACTGTGGTCAGTCATGAATCTGCTTAATGGCCTGACGGGAGAGACTGAGGTAGGTGTGTGGTAGTTTGAAATACATACTCTTGCATTAATACAGGCTGAGCAGAACTATATTTCAAATATGTAAAACACAAAAAGCAAACAAAAAACTCCTAAAAATTATTCAGCCACATTAATATGAAAACGGCAAAGCACAATTATGCGTTGATGATTGAAAATCACAAAAAAGTAAATTTGTTGAAAAGATTTCGTTTTCTATATAAATCATTCCACTGTCAGCCACCATGCTTCCCAATAGCATCTGCTTCAACTTTGAATTTTTACTGATATTTTCACAGTTTGAATTTGCAGGATATATGGCAATATCTTTATTGAGCCCCAAGTTATCTTACAAAAGATTTCTTTGAGAAGCCTCACATGAAGAAAAGAATTCAATCTACCTTTTCCCATCTACTAATTTTTACTAAAAACCACAATATACTCCCTGAAACTGAATTTGCACAAAATGAAGCAATAAATGACACAATAATTTGTGTTGCATAAAATTACACATAACAGTCTTATACCCGTGCTAAAATATGGAAAAAAATGACATAATTTTGAAAAGTATCGATGAAGAGAAAGACCTTGGAATCATTTACACAAATCATTAAAGGTAGCCGGCAGATTGATAAAAGGTGGTTACAAAAGCACTGGATTGCCTGAATCTATATGAAGAGGAATAGCATATAAAAGCAATGCGATTATGCTACAACATTTCATATTACTGGTTAGACCTCAAATAGAGTACAATGGAAAATTCTAAAGCATCACACTTCAGTGGAGATGTAAATGCCTTAGAAGGAGAACCAGGGTTGAGGGACTACAGTTAGCAGGGGCAGTTGGAAAGTGAGGATGCTTTCATCTTCCCTGTTGCAAGGGAAGAGGTGACAGGATAGAGATTTTCCAAATGATTAGATTTTGATAAAGTGTTTACAGGAAAATGCCTCAAATACTACAGTTCACAGATTCAACATTAGTCGGACAAGTTCAGAGAGAAGGTTAGAAAAAGATGTTCCACTCATGAAGCTTTCAGATGCTGTAACGCTCTATGTACAATACAATGGAAGCGGGTTCCACATATAATTTAAGAATGGAATTGGACAGATCGTTGAGGAACCTACAGAGTTCAGGATGCAAAGTGGGATGTGAGATTAGGCATGACCGCTGTTTCAAACAGTCATTACTGGGCTGAAAAGCCTCCTCAAATGTTCGTTTATATCATTAATAAGACAGTACAGATAGGTTTTAAAAGGATCAGCAGTAGCAAAGTGATTTGCTAAAAAATGTGAACAGATATTTTTATATAATGAATTGTAATGAACTGAATAATCTGTACTTGGAAAAACAAGCAACTGAGGAGAAACAGCTGCATTTCTAGCACTACCAGCTGCCATTCTGGCTTAAACAAGCATTCATCATTGAGGAAATCATGTCCTACATGCTTAATACATTTTGACAAAGGGAAACAATGGTTGCAGAAGGAAAGAGAAGCACCCTGAAATCTGCATGGAGTAAGTGATGAAAATGTCTAAAAGCAGTACTTACCAGGTTTGCCTTATTTGCATTGTGAGCAAGTGACCAGAAGCAAAGTGATAGCATAATGGAAAAAGGCAACTAGTTAGCTAAGCAGAAAGTAAACATTCAAAACCTGTTAGAAAGGATCAGAAAAATCACTCTCTGACAAGTCTTATCTTTTTATATGAAATTAAAAAGAAAACTATTGCAAAGGTGAAAAAAGAGAAAGAGGAACTAAAGCTTTTTTTTGAAAAAGCAAGTAAGAAACAATAACAGCGTTACATAGCAAAGAAGGAAACCAGAAAGCTCAGAAAATAGACAAATTATGTAACTTTCTCCTTCTTTTTGAAGAATTCAACAGATTATACTGAATACAAGTTACAACATTAGGAACAATGATAATTAAGCTACAAGTTTACTTACTGAAATTCACTTTGCATTTGATTTCGATAAAAGCTTATAAAGATGTATGCTGTATGATGGCAGCTTTTTTGGTAGCAATATCAGTTCACAAAAGACACAATGATTACAGCTTTCTCCTCCTTTTGCTGTAATGTCGACCTTTTCTGAACTTTCCTCTAAAAGTAAGAACTCAAAAGCCTACTGTTCATAGAAAGCTTTTTAATTTTTACACCAATACATGAACAGTTTTAATGTTTCCTCTTCCTTGATATCTTTGACTCCCTTACAACACTGCTTATTTGTTGACTTAAACTGTTTTAAGCAGTTTTGTTCCTCTACAATTTCTCAATGCATCCCTGATTAAGTTGACTCCCTTTGCTTAAAACCTGAAACTCGAGGCAGTGGCTGCATTACCCTCCACAGCAGTGACCTATCACAGGCTACCAGATGCCCTATCCCTTTCACACAGAACTTCCATCTGTCCCATTTCAAGTGGAGAAGAATAGGAAATTGGGGCATCCAAAAGTTGAGAGATTAAGTAGCGGAGTAGGACAGAGAAGAGCTGAGAGGGACTAACATAAGAGGAATGTAACAAAGGGGAAAACAATAAAAGGGTTAGAAACAGAAGCATGAAAATGAAGAGAATTACAAGATGCTCGACAGGGGATAAAGGAGAGATGCAGGCAATAGAGAGCCAAAGGAGAGATAAAGGAAAATGGAGAAGATGATAAAGAAGGAAGGTAAATGAGAAGGAGGGAGGGAAATAAGTAGGTTAGAGAAAAATAAGAGAAAATAAAAGTGGAGAGAAAGAAAATGAGTAAAGGAGAAAGAAATAAATTAAATGTTAGAGTCAAGCAAGCAAAAGGCTCCACTAATGAGGATTGCCGTAGTAGAATGAAAACCAAAACAAGCAGGTTGAAGAGTGAGACCCTCAAACCAAATACTCCAAATGTAAACATCACCAATAAATGAAAAAGAACATTGCATCAGTGCTGACAGCATGGTCAATTCAAGAGAAAATCCCACAGTTCACATAAAATTAAAGCTGGATTCTAAAAACTTTAGAAACATAAAAGGGGAATTTCAAATCATGATCTAATTCAGGGAATAAAGCTGTATCTTGTGAGACTGCTTGTAACAGCTTCGATATGTGGAAACTTCCACACATTGACCTGTTTCAATTTCTATACGAAAATTATTGGATATATCAAAGGAATTATGCAATATAAAACATACATTAAAATTCATATTATTTATGTATGTATTGAAACATGTCCTGATTAGGAGCAAAATACAATGCAGCTTAGTGAAAAAGAGCCACAACAGCTGAAATGTTTCCTATTCCTTTCTGGAAATATGCTAAAGTGCAAATTTGGAGTTTCTCATTTTGACTAAGCTGGTTTCTCTTTTAATTTAATCTGTTCACACGTTTAACAATATCAGAAACAGTTTTTACCTATCATTTGGGCTATGGTCTTCTCGTACTCTGCAACAATCCGCCTGTAGATAAGAAAAGCTACAATGAAAGGAGTGTGTGCAAGCTATGCTAATTTTACAATGATTAATGTACAATATATCTTAATATGATTCAGCACAAGATTAAGTGTTTCCAAATTAAGCACTCAGAGATCTGATGAGGAAATAATTCTAAAGGAACAATTACATATTAAGCAATCAAACAGTACAAGTATATTTTTAATAAAATTTTACAATAAAATAAATTAGATGAAAGTCAGATCCAATGGTAACTCATCTTCTGTGGCGCAAGCAGGCTCAGATTTTTAATAAACTCTTCCAGGTTTCCTCCGTCACCGTTGCTGAGTAGTAACAGTGTGTATCGTCTATAGGATTTACTGGAGAAACTGACCAAGGCTTCTTAGACAGCACCTTCCAAACCTGTAAACTCTACAATCTAGAAGGACAAGGGCAGCAGATACATGAGAACACCACTAACAGCTGCATGTTCCCCTCCAGATCAATTCATTATCCTGACTTGGAACTATATTGCTGTTCACCTGTCCTGCTGGGTGAAAATCCTGGGAGTTCCTCCTGAATGTATTGTGGGTCTCCCCAAACTAAATGGACTGCAGCAGTTCAAAAAGGCAGCTCACCATCACCTTCTCAAGAGTGACTAATGATGGGCAATGATTGTTGGTCCGGACAACGATGCCAACATTCCAGGAATGAATTTTAATAAAAAACCTCTGACTGGTTTGAGCCACACAAGTAATAGTAAAGTTTCATGAATAATGAATCAGAAGGGGTAACTGCCAATTCCACCACAGAATCAAAGTCTTTACACCAACACGCACAAATCCTTAACATAGGTAGTAGGAACTGCCGATGCTGGAGAATCTGAGATAACAAGGTATAGAGCTGGATGAACACAGCAGGCCGAGCAGCATCAGAGGAGCAGGAAAGCTGAAGAAGGGTCTCGACCCGAAACGTCAGCTTTCCTGCTCGGCCTGCTGTGTTCATCCAGCTCTACACCTTGTTATCTCAGATTCTTAACATATTTCTTTTCCCCCATTCGTGGTCTACTGGCCTGGATTCTTTGGAAATGGCAGCCCCATGTAGACTGCCTCAAACATAAATTGCTCAGCCTCAGATCATTTCTCTGCAACTCTTTCTCCACCTTTAGCTTCCCAAAAGGGAGGAATGTGCATCCTTTTATTGCCGGGTCCTTTAAAGGAGCTCTGAACTCAAATTCTGGTATAAGAACAATTTTTATTTTAATTGGAGGTAAAAGGAATTATGAAAAACAAAATAAACACACTTCACAAAATGCAGAAGAGGCCAAAAGGTGTAAATTACAGGGAATGTCAACAACTTGTCATAATCTTTCATAAGCTAATTGAAAAAATTGCTTGTGAATTTTTGGAGTGAAGTTCCATTTTATCTGAGTCCACAATAGTAGTGAATTTCCAACATAATTCTAGAGGATGTGTATAATGCTAAGCTTTTCATCAACTTAAAACAATTTTTAAATCCTTAGTAAAATTCTCACTATCAAATATTAAGAACCTCCTGCTGTATAACAGAACAAAATACAAGATTTTGCAAATCATGCATAGATGAGACCTACAGCTGTCTTGGTCTCAACAATATGCTTGGTTGCATTGTCAGTGTGAAAATAGTTGGGAATCAAGAAAAACCTTTCAGGCACTTAGAAAATAAATATCAGCTAAAGAGAGTCCAGAAAATCATAGTCTTTTCAAAGCTGTACATCTGTACTGAAAATAATGCCAGCTTTTTCACAATTTGTCCTTCAGAGACTTTTCATTATATAAAATTATGGTCACTGGAACCAGATGTTTTAGACTTGGAAGGGAAAGCACTCTAAAGAATTGCCAGTAAATGAAACTAACCTGATCTTAAACGGGCAAGGGTTAGTTTTAACTCCAGTTTGAAAATAGTGAGTGGCCTGTCCGTCCAGGAGTGGCAGCAGAAAGATTCTGCCGCTTTGCATGCTGCACCATATCAATATGTTACAGGATGGCCTCATGGAGTTCAGTGACACTGCAATTAATTCTTACACTCTTCCCCCCCCACCCCCCTCAAAAAGGTGGAGGAACGCACCATAGTTTCCATTTCCATGCTCTCCTTGCTCATTAACGCCTGCTGCTGAATTTAAAAGAAAACAGCCTCCAGAGAGGGTGATAAACATACTGAATTTTTTTTTTTTAAAAAATGAGGTGGCACTGATTTGAGATTCAGAGATGCAAATTTCATATAAAACTGGAGAGGCTCTCCTTGGACAAAATGACACACGTACTGATTCTCAAAGTCCCAAGACCAGACACAGCAAACAAATTTTTCACTGGCGTGTGCGGGTGAGGGTGTTAAGAGGGAAAATGGGAATGGCTTGTTCTTTGCACACCCTTGGTGTGGTTCACAGAGACAACTACATGGGTTATTATGCAGCTGTCTTCAAACATATCCAATTTTTCCTGGGAATGTTTCAGTCATACCTTGTGGACTTTACACAAGAAGTCTAAAGCTGCTGGGATTATTTGGCAAGGTTGAGATACCCTTTGGGAGAGGCGGTGTCCTTTTATAAAACGTTGTATTAAAAAATTGATACTTATTGCAACATTCAGGCGGTCAAGGGAACTGTCACCATTTCAAGGAAACTATTAAGCTGTCAAGGATATTAAATCTCCTGCCATTTAATGTTTTGGAAACAAAAGCTTAAGAACTTATTTCATTGCAGCTTGGGTGTCTGAGATCTGTCAATGGTAGATGTTGGGTGGAGTTGGCATGGAGGGTGGAGGGCTTTGGATTGGTACTGTTGGCATCCAGTGTACAGGGCCAAAGAGGTATGGGTGGAAGGGAATAGGTTGACATGGAGGGTAGGCAAGAGATGCATGGGGAGTGAGAGGAGTGAGGGTTTACAGATGTTTTGTTTCTTTTATTGCCTTTATAAACAGCTGGTAAAGAAGTGCTGGATCATCAAAATTTTATACAACCCACCTCCACACCTGCCAGTGCCTGGGGCTGCCTCTGAAATTTGTAACTTTGTTGTTTTTTTTAGGTACAGCAGGTCCAACTCCACCACCCACCACCCCAGAAACCAAATTTAGACTAATTAGGAGCCCTTTGAGTTGAGAACTATCCTGACTTGGGACTGAAAATTCAGGCTAGTGTCGCCATCTATTCCTGAACTGTTGATCACTCTTTTACTGCTTTTGGTATGAACACAAAATTTTTCAATGTGCTAATTCAAAATTAAAAGTATAAACAGAAGGCTAAGCTTTAGGCCACATTTTGTTTAACATAAGACAGATCACTGTATGCATTGAACATCTTCGACATTATCAAAAAGCTTTTGGATTTTCTTTCGATGCTTCATATAAAACAAAATCCTGTATTAAAAAATATCAACTATAGTTTGCAATGTGCGGTTTGTCATTGCTGCAGGCTGTTTTCCAATTCTTTGTTCAGAATAATATGAAGCACTGACTAAATTGCCATTTTACCTAAATTGCACTGCCTTCTCATTAAGCTATTAAAATTTTAGATTGACTAATGATGGTTTTAAGAATTTGAGATAAGTGCTTTACAGTATTGTTCACATTTACACCGAAGAGAATGAACTAATTCTTCTCCGGAAGGCATTATTTACTCAACCTCAGTTTCATTAAGACATGCTTAATTGTTAACCAGAACAACTGGAATGTTGGATGATAATTGATTGGAACATTGGGCAGTTGAAGTCATTAATGGATTGGTTTTTGTTAGGTGTGCCTTGAATCCTCCTGAAAGAAAATAGCAGTGCACATTGTGCCCTGCATCACAATACAACACAACACAACTTAAAAAGCTCTTTAAGCTACACGTTGTTATTAGAAATCTATCATGTCATGTTACTCTTGCACATAAAGTATCAAGTTAATCAGTCAGCTATGTTACAGTTTGTGTGTAAATACAATGACTACTTACAAAGGGCATTATCCTCTCAGTAAAATGTCACTGTTGTTAGCAGGTTGTTTTATAATCCTAGTTCAATGTAGTATAACACCTACTGCTAAAATCAGGTCACTGAGATGTGAAACCTGGTGTCTATGTTGGCAGTTAATAAAGGGCTGAATAATCAGTAAACTTATTCTACCTGCATATTTGAAACTGATAGAACTTCTGAAGTCCTCAACATAATCGAGTCAATATGCCCAACTATATTTGTGGACAGGGAATCCTCAAGTTAATTCTGTACATTCAGTTCTTTAGTCAACTTCACAGAGTCAGTGGAGTCACAAATCTATATCAACGTACCTCATCTCAACAACCTCTTGCCTACTTTCGTCATATTTCCTCTTCCAGTCTGCCGCTTCTCTTTCCTGAGCAACAATCTGGAACAAAGACAGGAAGCATACACAACTGAAGACCCATATGAGAAAAAAATCAGAACACATTTTAAATTAAAAGGAAAGTTGAGGTTATGGCAGGATACATAGAATAAAGCTAAAGAGGGTCAAGAAATAAGCAAAACATAAATAAAGACTTTAAACAAAGCTAAGGCAAAAGTAACTTCAGAGATGGTTCAGACATTCCTTTGTAAATTTGTTAAAAATAGCATTGTTAAAAAAACAATACTTGATGAAAAAGTTGTTTGAAACAACACCTATCCAGCATATATGTACAGATGCAGAAAGACACCCATACTTTCAAAAGATTACTCCAAGCTGAATGAGCTACCTCCTCCCTAGCTGTTCTCAGAGCAGAATCCAAATCTCTTTGACTGTAATGATGTCCATCCGCTTGAGTGTCATCAACCTCGCTGTCACCAGTCCGAGAGTATAGTGCACCTTTCGTAATGGGAGTGTCCATTGACGGTGTACTGTCCCTTTGCTGCAAGAAAATGCAAACACAAAAAATACAACCAGTTTACTGGATTAACATATACCTCTTTTGACTTAAAAAGTAAGGAGAAACAAAGCACTGCCTCACAAGGTCAAATTTCCTGTACATTCTATTAATCACTGCATGTTTAAATTAATATTGGGTCAAAGTGCCATATAAAGCTGTTGCTGGACTCTTTTGCATTACATTATTGTTAGAAAGCATGATGGGAAATGCATAATAGCTGTCTGAAATTACATTGCAGGAAGAGTGTAAACTTCAGCTTAATCCAATTAACAGAGTCAGTGGTTGCAGAAGATATCCTCAAGAACAGTGGCATCTACTGGTTAAATTGGGACAAAAAGAAGCAGCGCAACATATCTGTATTTCATCCTATTGGAATTCTGTTTAATAAATCTGAAAGTAGAATAATTCATTTCTTTACTTTAAAAATGCAACAGTTTCTGCTCCTGTTAAATGTTTGCTGCTGAGTTGTCATAATCAAGCAATACTTACTAATATTCGCAGATGCTTGCTTATTTTAGTAAGCAGGAATTTTGTAAGCTGAACCATTTTGCAATTGCCTTGGAATGTAGTCTAGCAATTAAGTTACTCATTAACCAACGGGAAGTGTTAAACCCTTTCTGTATCAAATAAACTTTGTTTAACTCTCCTGTTTAACAGTTGGGGCAATGGGATTTCCTGCTGTATATTTTTGCTGCAAAACTTGAGAAGTGCACAGAAACAATTATTTTGTAGTATCAAGTTACACCTATGACGTATTTTTGAAATGATGCACTGTCTTTTTAAACAGCTGTGAAGAAGTCCTGGTTATCCACAGCTGGACCACTCCATCCAGTTCTGGTCACCAAGCTTCAAGAACATTTTGGAAGATCATGCAAAAGACAGACAAGAGATTTAGCAGAATGGTTCCAGGGATGGGGGTTTTAGCTTTAAATTAAGTTAAAGAAGCTGAGGTTGTTCTTTGAACAAAAGAGATTTAATAGAGGTGTACAAGATTTTGCCAGGATTGGATAAGATGGCCAAGGTAAAAGTACTCTGATGTGCTGTTGATACAAAGACTAAGGCACACAAGTTTAATGTTTTGAGCATGAGATACAGTGGGGATACGAGGAAGATCTTTTCTTACATTGAGAATGGTAATGACATGGAACTCATGCCTACAAGAGAGGTGGAAGCACAAATGATCCATGGTTACATAAAGAAATTCAATGTGCACTTGAAGGAAATAAACTTGAAGTACTTTTAGAATAGAGCAGGAGAATGAATGTACTGAAATTACAAAGAACCAGCATATATGCAAAAAACGGAATATCCTCCCTTTGTGCCACAAATAACGTTATGACTCTTTGCAAAATAATACAATTACAATTTTGGAAAGTGTGTAAAGGTTAAAGATTGTTTGTCAATTCAAAATCTGTCAGTGAAGCAAATCTGAATATAGTCATTGTGTCCAAGTAAAACACGTACAATTTTGGTAAAATAAAAAAGTTTTATAACTAAGATGAAGATTAAATCCAAGTTAGTACAGGCAGGAGACAATATCAAAAGTTGGAATTTGACAATTTCTGGATTTACAAATACAACAAAAAAAAAGTTTTACTTAAAGACAGTGCCTTATGATTGATTTCACCTCAAAGCCATGAAACAATAACCAAGTGCAAAAACTGAATTACAAATGAAATGGAAGTAGTTATGGAAGAAAATGAAAATGCCTATCTTTGTTAAATATTGTGTACTAAATCCATTTTCTGACAAAGATACAATTAGAAGTAGAGAAATGACACCACAATTAGAAAGACTTTAGTAAGACAAGATTTTTTTTTTAAGCTTCTGCGAGGTAGCATTACCAAAAAGTAATGATATAAGAAGACAGCATGAAGGCAAATGTGAGGAGAAAGACATTTGTGGACTCAAGTATGTCACTTCACAACAGACAAGAGAGAGGAATATTAACTCAGACATAACTTGTTCAACTACTCATGCTATAATTAATTTGAATGGCTTAGAAAATCAAAACAAAATCAAGTTAAGGACGTCTTTATGAAGCTTTACATTCCTTTGGCTTTTACTTTCACAAATAGAAAACAGAACAAATGAAATAATATTAAAGATATGTCTGTCACTTGAATACCATAATGGAGGGTGGTGTCTTTAGTTTGTATCAATCTTCATGATCAATCATAGAAGATCACAGAATCTCTACAGTGCGGAAAAAGGCCATTTAGCCCATTGAGTCAGCACTGACCCTCCAAAGAGCATCACACCAAGACCCAGCCTCTTAGCCTATCCCCGTAACCCCACATTTATCATGGCTATTCCACCTAACCTACACATGCCTTGATACTATGGGCAATTTAGCATGACCGATCCATCTAACCTGCACATCTTTGGACTGTGGGAGGAAATCTGAGCACCAGGTGGAAACCCATGACGACACAGGGAGAACATGCAAACTCCACATACAAAGTGAACAGTCCTGGGGCTACAATTATTTAGAATATATATTGATGATTAGGATAAAGGAACTGAATGTGTTACAGCTAAATTTGCAGTTGACACAAAAATGGATGGGAAGGCAAGGAGTAAGAATGACACAGAGTCTACAGAGAGCTATAGAAGGTTGAGTGGGTAAAAATTTATCAGTCGGAAAATGTGTTATCTAATTTGGCAAGAGAATAGAAGAACTGAAAATTATTTAAATGGGAGAAGACTGCAGAAAGCTGCAACACAGAGGGATTTGGAGACATTATTGTATGAATCAATAGAAGCTAGCATCCAAGTCCAGTGGGCAATAGGGAAGGCAAATGGATTTTTGGCCTTTATTTCAAGGGGAATAGAATATAAAAATAGGTTTTACTAAAACAATCATCAGAGCACTGCTGGAATACTGTGAACAGTTTTGGCCCCTTAGTTAAGGAAAAATACACTGACATTAGAGGCAATCCAGACAAGATCCATAAGGTTGATCCCAGGTGTGGAGGAATTTTCTTATGAGCACAGGTTGAGCATATTGGGCCTATACTCATTATTGAAACAAACAGGATTCTCAGGGGGCTCGATAGGATAGGTGGAGAGAAGTTGTTTTCCCACAACCCAAAGGGATAACCTCAGTATAAGGGGTTACCCACATAAGACAGAGATAAGGATTTTCATTTTATCTCTTGGGGTAGTTGATCTCTGGAATTCTTCACTGCAGATGGCTGTTGAAGCTGGCTCAAGGCTGAGACAGATAAATTTTTAACTGATAGGGGAATCAAGAGTTACGGCGATAAGACATAGAATTGAGAATTATCAGACCAGCCATGATCTCATTGAATGGTGGAGTGACTCTGGGCTTAAAGGCCCCCTTCTGCGCCTATGTCATATAATTTTAAAGTCTTATAATTGCTGCTTTTTCAATCTATGTATACATATAAAGGTACAAGGTGCATAAGGATTTAACATGCAACAATTTTAACACTCAAATAAATCCTTGAGCTTTGCACCAAAAAAGATGGTTAATGCTTTATTTTTAACCAAGCAGATCATCATTCCTGTATTATGTACTGCCCTTCGAATACATCTAATTTCGCACATTTTCCACAAGATAATCCAAATCTTCAGCAGGTATCGTACAGGGAATTCCAATACAAAATTTAAACAAATGAAAATAGAATCAAAACAAAAATATTTTTTATATATTTTAACAAATTTGCTACAATCTTCTTTGAAATAATGTTCAGCTAACTAATATTTTTGCAGCCAAAGTGCTTAAGAAATAGTTAGCTTTGATCTCTACTGTAAATCCAGATGAAGTCTATAATGTAACTATTTTCAATTCAAACAATTGCACTCTATACAGTGTGTATACCAAAACAGATATTATTTTCACATACTATAAAAATTTATTGTGATATCATTGTACAATATTACAAAACAGATTATTAAATGGTGGGGATAGATCCTAATCTAACTCTTACTTGTAAGCATGAACCAAAATTGGCCCATTGTCTTCTGGCTGTACTCCTCCCTCTGATCTGTGAGCATGGAGACAAGTGAAAGAAACTGGAAAAAGTAACATGATAACTAAACCTTCAACAAACTAGGATAATAACTGAACCTCAGTTATTCCTGATGTGCAAAAATACAATTTTGACTTCATTTACATTTCATTCTAAATCAAAATGTTAACCATCAGAGGAAGAAAGCATCAATTTCTGCCACATGTTGAAGTGAATTTTTAAAATTAACATGACTTCTGCAAAGGTAATTCAATCTATGTATTTTCAATGTTATCCTTTACCATACTTTTAAAGAAGAATTACCAACTGTGAGACTGATAACACAGAAGATCCAATTACTTCCATCAGCGAGGTCTAAATTTGGCTTAGAAGGAAAAATGATCCTTGCATTTCTCACACATTGTATTATCATATCAGTCACTGATTTAATGATCTAGCTCTTTGTTGATTACACATCGTAATGAACATAGTGGAGTGTTTATTTTTAGCTATCAGTGGAATTGAAAATAACAATGAAATTATTCTATAAGGCTTTGGCCACAAAATTTGGCTGTATAATGTTTGGCAGGTGCAAAATGGCATCCGCAAGCATACAGATATTTCCAGATATCATTTTGGCAAGTAGATTAGCCTGAGTGCAGGGAACATGCACCTGACATTTGCAGTATTATCATCACTCAGCGTAAATCATTGATTTGATCAACAGTGATATTATTTTCAATGTGAATGCTCTAATTAGTGCTCTTTCTGAACTTCTCACACATGACTTCAATAGCAGGAAAGGTCCCCGCTAATGGTTCAAAGCATTATCAAGGATTTTCAAATTAATTGCCGATTGATGTCTTCTAGTTTTTGCTGAGTTTGTAGAAGTGTTAGATAATATGTGCTATTTAGAATTGCTGAAATCTATGGCGTGACTGAATACTATGGTTTTGGTTTCAACGATTCTCTCCAGACCATTTACTCCCAGAGATGGGGACTGTAGTTTACATCCCCTTAGCCTACAGCGTGACAAGCAGAGGTGACACAAAACATGACAAGCTGTGGATGAGATGGGACACCTCCAATGGCAAGCAACTCTTAACTTTGACATCAGCAGAAAAGAATGCACTGCTTATTAAAGAGATGCTTATTAAAATCTGCTACCCGCTACAGTCCAAACTATATCGTCAGAATTAGAGGAGGACAGCATTACCCATGGCAGTGAAAATGACCGTGGCTACAAACATGTTGGGCTCCTAACAGGTTCAAGCAAGTAATATTATGCAACATTTCCTGGTTTGTCATTCACTATTACATAAAACGGAGGTTCTTCATTCTTTTTTGCCAGAGTGCAAGGTGCAAAGCACTTTTGACTGCACATATATCACTTTGTGGATGCAGCTTGTAAATTCAGAGATGTACCACAACCAGATGAAATGTCATTCTGTCTGTGTGATCATACTCATACCAGTGAATACCTGATATCATAGCAGCAGTGTAATGCCTTACTTCCCCATCAGTCTACTTTACCAATAATACTTGAGCTATTGTGAGAAACAAGACAATAGCTATAAGCCTACAAGAAGAGCTATTTGCTGATCATGGCTTAGTGCATGACTCAGACACTTATAAGCAGCATTTAATGAAAGCCACGCTACCACACAAAGTATGTTTGAGCAGATTATTGGGCTGCTGAAGCCACCTTCCCCGAACTGCTCTGGAGGAGCTCTGCTGGATTCAGTTTGTGTCATGATTCATCTCTGTGTGCCAAAACTCACAGAACCTCACCATACAGGCACAGCCCTTGTCAGCAGTCATACAGCTAGCAACTGAGGACAGAGAGGAGATAACCAATATCCTCCCACTTTTGACCAGGCTGATGGTGAGCTCATCCACTTACATATCAATGTCAACTTCCCATTTAGCAACAGTTGCACACATACCTTTGCTCTGTCACTCATTGATACAGTGCCTGCTTGGCTCCAATGATGAAATAAACAACCACAAAACAACATGTATAAATCAACCTATCTAATATTCTATATAGAATTCAACTGATCTCCTGTTTGTATGCCTTTAGTACCTGATTTCCATCAGCCTTTGTCTGTCCTACTTTTCCTGCACAATACTGAATGGCTGCTGACTTTAAGTGATGACCTTGCAGGATGATCTTGAGCAGCTCTGGCCTACAAGATCCAGCATCGGACTTTCCCATCTTGGCACAGGCAGCACCATTTTGAACTGGCTGGCTGATGGGGAACAGTAAGGGCACTTGCAGGATGGCAACTGTGGGAAGACGAACACTGTGCGCTATGGCATCACTGCTACTCCTCAACAGCAGTGCTCCAGCAATCCCAGCAAATGTGCAGGAGGACAGAATGCTATACTGCTGCAAGACCCGCACGAACCTTTTGCGCACTGATATTCACAACTAAAATCTGGTTGTTTTCACAAGTATTCAAACAAAGTTGGCTACCACTTCCATGCTGAAGAGGATGGGCTCCAAGATCTACATACAGTCCTGTTTCAAGTTGGAATCTAGATTCTTCCAAGGTCTACAACAGTGACCAACTGCAGTCTTTCTGGAAGATTTGCAAATGGACAAACCATTTCTGTTTGCATACTCAGACATCTTTTCTGTAGGCTACATCATTGAATTCCTCATCCAAGTCCTCTCAGCGGTACTCATGTGTGATCTGGCTCTCTTGGCATTTACACTACACTTGTCTTCTACCCTGACAACTTGCGTCCTGCTGCACTACATGTAGTTCTCACCTCTACACTATTCGTTAAAGTATGCACAGTTTCAGTATCTAGGCTTGTGGCTATGAGTGACAAAGTGCATGATGGTGTTTCTTCCTCATTACTATCTTCCTGCTTTGGCACCACTACCTAGTCAGGTTGCAGCTCTAAGTATTTGAGAGAAGAAAGACACATGGCTGGGGTTGTAGTGAGGGAACAAGGGCATTCCATACACCACCTACAGCTTGAAAATGAGAATAGATTGGGAGTAAGAAGAAGTAGAAGGTGAGAAGATAGATAATGTACCAACATAGCACAGCTTTGATGGTTTCAGCCTCTTCACTGGCTGCAGACTCAGTCATGATCACTCCAATGAGCGTAAACAACATTTTCACTGTATTACAATTTTGTTCAGTTTAAATAGAAATAACCCTGCATAAATAAGATTCAATCTACTTTTATGATTTCTATATCAGTATGTCGACATATGGCATCAGACACACTTCTGACCTACTGAGTAACCAAGATATCACATTCCTATTAATCCCCTAATCTCCCAATCAACCAGTGATACAAACTTTAATTTGCATCTGTTATTCAACTAGTTTACGAGTCTTCACTTGTTAGCCCTACATTGCTTTCATTTGAACAAAACAGTGAACAGCTAGCTATGATATAGAATCAAGGTCTCTTCATTTTTGACAAGAATGTCCACCAGTCACCATCACAAAGAAAGAAAGTGGCCTTATTAAAAAAATAAAATGCATCCAAGGTTGATCCTACACATTTTAACAAAGTTCAGGAAGAAGGGTCACTGGACCTGTAACATTGACTGCTTTCTCTCCACAGATACTGCCAGACCTGCCGAGTTTCTCCAGCAATTTCTGTTTTTGTTTCAGATTTCCAGCATCAGTAGTTCGTTTATTTTTTAAGTTTATTGTTCCTCTTCAATGCTCTAGCAAATAGCTCCTCATAATTTGAATTCATAATTTCATAAGAAATAGGGGCAGAATTAGGCCATTCGGCCCATCGAGTCTGCTCTGCCATTTGATCATGGCTGATATGCTCCTCACCCCCATTTTCCTGCCTTCTCCCCATAACTCTTCAACTCATTACCAATTAAAAATCTGTCTGACTCCTCCTTAAATTTACTCACTGTCCCAGCATCCACTGCACTTTAATTCCACAGATTCACAACCCTTTGGGAGAAGTAGTTTCTCCTCAATTCTGCGCAGTTTTAATTTACTCCCAGCATGCAAATGGATTCAGGAATGAACAATGATGCAAAATGGAGTGCAGCCACCTTATTAAGCTTATACTATGATCCCCACACATCTGGGACAGGCAGAACACAGTATACACAGATGAAAAATCTAGAGAGAATTGTATATGACAGCTGTTGCTATATGCTTCAGCAGGCATTCATCCTCAACTTTCAAAACTTAGTATGATCCAAAAAATCTAAAAAGTGAGACCCTGTTTTTGGTTCACTTAAAATTTGTTTGAAGGAGGAACTTAAAAAATTGAAAACAAATGGAGAAACAACACATTTGCCAATTTTCAGCAGTCCACTTGGCAAAAACAACCAGTTTTTAAACACACAGCCAAACTTAAGCACATTTAAATCTGATCTCATACAAGAAAGAAATTTATAAAAATAAATTCAGACTCTGAATTGAGTACCCAGGACTAATTTGCTGAAATCCAAACCACCACAAAACAGATTCAGGACATTAATTGCTGGTCTGCCACATATGAAAGTATTTTTCTTGCTGTGATCTTAAACACTCAAAGAAAAAGGAATGAATTGTTTATCAGCTAGACTAGTTTCTAATGAACAAGGATTGAAATAAAATCTTTTTGAATAAAAGGAAAACATGTTTAGTTGACTTTTGCTCTGGTTTGAAAGAATATTGCTGACATATTACGTC